TCATGAGGCACCTCTTTTTAGACTCATTGCGAGGGTTTGAAGCTTGTCACTCGGAAGCATTGCAAGTGATTGCTCTAGAATATATCTCTTTTTAAGTCTATATATATATATGTCTATACTCTATATTGTTCTCCTCCAGGCTGGAGCTACACCGTCAGAAGTGCAAGATCCACAAGCCGCTGTGCAAACCTTTGAGGCCTCGTCCTGTTTTTGTTTCCAGGGCAAAGGGTAAGGGAGTTTGATTCGTGGAGAAGATGACCAATTTTGATTTTTATCTCCACAGCCCGTCAGGCTGTCGCTACACGGCAGGAAGTACAAGGTCCCCAAGAATCTTTGCAGACACGTGAGGCATCTCTTTTTGCAGATTCACGCCTCCAGATTTGTTGTGGTAAAGGCGTTTGTTTGGTAGACGACCCACGCTCTGGTTATATATATATACACACATGTAGATGTGCCTCTGCAGACTTGCTTCCTTGCTTGTCAGGTTCGTCAAGTTAAACATGAGAACAATTCAAAGCCTGCAGAGGCCTCGACAGTCATCTTTTTCAACCCAAACGTCAGAAGCGTTGCAAGTCATTGTGCTAGAGTGCTGTATATTGTTGTCCCGATGTTTCCTTTCCGGGCATAGAAAGTGGGCTCAAGATTGCAGCAAATTGGAGAAAGAGTCCAGCTTCGAATGGCTTTCTTGGATACAATGCTTTGGCAGCTATGGCTTCTTCTTCCAACGATCATTTGTGGATGCTTAGCCTTTGTTGCCCTGCAGTGGCTACAGCGTGAAGGCCCGCTTGCAGAACATGAAGCGGTAGAAATTGAAATTGTACAACCAGAAAGTGCTCAGCCTCCACTCCAACTCCCACCAGCTCCAGCTGTACCAGCATTGGCCAATGTACCGAGTTGGAGTTCATCATCTTCACCGTCTTCATCATGCAGTGGCTGGGAGTTTGCAAGTCCAGGTGGAAGACACACCAGATTGATCTATGTCAGTGGCAGGAAGTACCGCGGAGATTCTTGATTCTTGCCAGCCCACTGAGCCGGGAGATGTTGTGTATACAGGCATATAGATAGATACGAGAATGTATCACACACACAGTGCAATTAAAAGGCTGTGGCCAAAATTTGATCTGTACAGATTCTGCAATGAAAGCCAAGGAGACTGGGAGGCGGCGTGAGCAAAAGCATTCATGTGGCATGTGTGTATATATATATATTGCATGGTGTTTGCAGTCAGTAGGGTGAACAAACTATATATATATATGTATATACCAAAACAGAACGCCTTTTCCAGGCTGGTATGCAGCCAGAGGTGTGTCGTGCATCGATCCGTTCAGAGGTTAATCTTTCCCCAAGGACAGGTTTGACGACATTCCAAGTGTTTGGTGTATTTCCTTCAAACAGTGGCCTTTTCCGTCCAGGTGAAGAGTGAACCGCAACCAAAAGAGCGAGCTGTGGAGCAGATTGGGAAGGCATGCTATGGGGCGGGCTGGAAAGACTTTCATGCATCAATCAATCAATTCATATATATATATATACAACTATATATATACACATGTGAACTTCCATCGCTTGGGAGGATATTATCCTTTTCCGTGTGGAGCAGCTTCTCCAGCAGAAGCCTAGTGGCGAAATAACCCAGGCACCCGTTGCGTTGAAATCACTTTTTTGGATGTGATATTTGATTGGCTTGACGACCCCTTTCCCCACCTCACCAACACTCTGTTCAGGCAACAACCCCTGAGTCTTCGCAGAAGAGGAGGAGGCTGACAAGGGGTGAGGAATCAACAGAATCCATGAACTCAGTGGCGTCAAAGATTGCGCACTTTGCTGCAGCGGGGGTCGGGGTCAAGGAAGAATTACACGACAACGCATCAAGCTTGTCAGACCTTGCACTATGTGAGACACCAGAGAAGGAGACTTCGCTACCGCTACTCTTGTCAAAGGAGGGTGAGGTCGACTCAGAGTCATCTGGCACCAAATCAAAATCGGTGCTGTGTGATGAAATGGCGGTAAAACTGGAGGCAGCTGACGGGGACTATTGTTCATCTGGTGAAGAAGCTGACTTGATGGATTGCTGGAAGTCCCACAACATGGCCGTTCTGCTGACTCCCGCAGAATGGACGGCTATTTTATCAGGTTGCTCAACTGGTCTCCTCCGAGGCTTCTGCCCTAGAAAAGAAGAACTCATGGCTATTCTTCCAGATGCATCAAATGGTGCTGTGGGTGTGGGCTTGTTGCTTTGCAAGGGGCATGAGCGGCTGAACAACGACACTTTGACCACTGATCCGGCTGTAGCAGCTGCTTGTGGGTCTCTGTACTCAACATGGCAAAGCTTGGAGCATCAACGCCAGAAGGGCCGGAAGATATCTTGGCTTTGGAAGATCACGCAAATTTATGCCTTTGACACACCTGAGCCAATTCCCAAAGCAGGTATATCCAAAAGATGGTTCCACCGGCCTATTGAGATTCAGGGCTTTGGGGAGCCAACAAAGGCACTTCATGCCGACTTGCATGAGACGGCCGCATTTTTGCTCGGGCGCGTGCAGCAGCCTGATCAGGATGCTATTCTAAGGGTTGGTCAAGCTTTGCGAGGGAAAGAGATCCGGGTTGGTACCACTTGCTCCGGCTGCGACATTTGCATTGATGCTCTGCAATGTGTATTTGACGTGATCTCTGGTGAGGCTTCACAATTTTGAAAAACAATGTTACAAGTGTCAAATTTATATAAGTGTTGTGTACACATAGAATGCGTAGAGCTGCTGCCTACATTGGAGAGAGAGAGAGCGAGGCGCATATGTATTGAGGTCTTTTAGCCAAAGCATCTACCTTGCCAGGCTGGAAGTATTCGCTTGGTGCATGTATTCAGCTGTGAGTTCGACAAGGTCAAGCGTGACCTGATCCATCAACAGCACGATGGTTTGCTGCACCTTTTCTCTGATGTTAAAGAGTTCACAGAGGAATGTGGATACTGCCACAAGTGTGCCTTGACAATTGCCCAGACCATAATGTTGTTCTTTTTGAGACGTGTATTTATGTATTTATGTATATATATATACACGCTACACATATATATATATATACAAACAGGGCCAGGCTGTGCTCTCTGTTCCCGTCAGTGCGGCATTCCACATGCAAATCTGATCTGAGGCCAAAGGAAGCACCGCATCAATCAGGATAATTGCGGAATTGATATCCTGATAGCTGGCCCTGCCTGTGTGGATCATTCGAGACTGAACGCGAAGCGCAAGCAGTTTGTTGGCTCCTATGAGTGGGATGAAGTGGACCCCAGACTTGGTTCTTCAGGATCAACCTACATCCACGGATTCAAGCAGGACTGGGGTTAGACACTGTTGGAGCACTTTTCCTTCAAATTCAGATTCATAGTCCCATGCTCGTGATGGCTTTGTCCACCAGGTAGCCAAGCTGTTGCAGCCCAAGTTGGCGCTCTATGAGAACGTCAAAGCCGCCGGTGAGAGGAGCCGGAACAAGGACGGCGACTGGGTTGAGGCAGCTGTCAAGGCGTGGTGTGCTTCGGAAAGCTTTTGTCATGTTTTTCTCAGGATGCTTGGTCAAACAATTTTGTCAGGTTGTGGCAAGAGACTTTGCAAACATGGGTTTTGATTTTGCAGGGGCCTCGGGACCTGTTTTGCATTGTGAAAAGCCAAAGCGTTCCGAGTGTCTTCGAATGGCATTCTAAGTGTTATAAGGCCTGGACAAATGTGGACACCTTCCGCTACCTTTTGCCACAGCGCCGGAACCGGATCTGGGGCTTTGCAGCGGTCGCCAGCGCCAGAAAGCGGGAAGAGATGGAAAGTACCTATACAACGGTCTTGAATGCAATGGCCTCTCACTCAAAGATTGCCAGCGGTGAGATTTTTCTTCCTGCTCCACAGCAGTCCCTGCAAAAGGGCAGGCATGAAGAAGTGCTAGCCAATGCTCTAAAGGCTTGTGGATCCCGTGGTCTCTTTGTGGACTGCAGCACTTCTGTGCGAAGGACTGTTGCCATGAACTGTGGGGTACCTTGCGTCTTGCCGACGCATCCCGTATGGTCGGTTGATCATCAACGTTACCTTGGTGCATCAGACTTTTTGCGCGCCCAGGGCATATTTCCAGGATCCTTCAAAAAGGAGGTCTACGAGACCATGCTGAACACCAACGGCTTAGCCCAAAGTATAGCCGGAAACAGTTTCAGTTCGACAGTATTTCAAGCAGCTGCTTTGGCATCTATGGCAGCTACTCCTGCTGTATGGGCAGGGGAGGCATGTCAACGCCCACAGCCACCTTGTCATGAACCTGGGGCCTCTACTACATTGAGGCGGGTCACTGGGAAGAGAAAAAGGCCTGAATATGATTTTGCCTTGCCTCTGCAGAAACCATCTTCAAAGAAGAAATCATCACCAAAGCAGAGAGCTCAGAAGAAGCGCCGGCAATACACCAGGAAAGAACCTGGAGTGGACAGCCGCATCTTGAGCCGGGGCAAAAAACCCATGGTGTCAATCGCAAAGAAATTGGAAATGCTGCTCGGCAAGATTATGGATTCCATGCCCCACTCACAGTCGATACGCACATATAGGTAGAAAAGACTGTGAACTATAAACTATATAAATGATTGTATTGTGAAGCATTCTAAGTGATTGCGGCCCGTTGCTGAAGGCTTCGTGCATATGATGCAGCAGTCCAGAACAAAGTGAAAAACCCAGCTAAGCACGTCGCTGACCAGGGGTTCAAAGGCTACTACAGATGCTGCCTCTACAAGTGGAAGAAGCAGCGCGCTTCTCAAATGTGGGACTTGATTGCGCAGAGTTCACCTCGCGTAGCACAGCGGCGCAAAGAAGTGCCAAATGGTGTCCGGCTGGCCATGGGCAAAGCTCTCAAGTTTGGTACCAGAGCCAAGGCCAATGACAGTGGCGCCACCACCATTGTGCCGGCGGAGCTGCAAGAGCTTGTAGCAGAGACTGTGGTGACTTGGTTGAGCACTATCACCACAATAGCAGTTGTAAACGGTCTTCTTCTGACAGGGAACATGAATCTTTTCAATTCTTCAGGAAACTCTGTCATCTCCAAAACTAAGGCAGAGCGCATTGATCTTGGAGAAGAGTGCGATTACTACTTTGTTTCTGATGTGCTTGCCAGTGCCATCGATGTTTGGAATTCCGGACTTGACAAGTTGAAGCAGAAGCTCGATGATCCAAAGGGACTTTGCCAACAGCTGGCACTGGAACAAGACGAGGACTCTGATGGAGAACAATGTGAGGAGGGCGATGAAAAGAAAGATGTTGACTGCTTTGAGCAGTCTGTGGAAAACCTGAAAGAGCGGCTTTCCTCTAGACTACGCCGGATCGAACTCAAACGGAGCGAGGCTAACTTCGTGTTACTGGGAGGAATTGGCAAACCTTTTTAGTAATTACATCACATCAAACAGGTTTACCTGTGAGGGGTAGGTTTTTTTCTTGGTCGGTATATAGACATACATATATATATAGTTATATAAAAGTATATATATATACAGTAGATACAAAACAAAATGCCAACAATTTGTCAAGCCTGAGCGAGGAAGTCAGCTCAGAGACTATGTGTCAAGGCTGGCATTGCACCAGCGCAGAATTCTAAGCCTGGGAAGCACCTCCCAGATTCACACCCTCTTCTACAAAAGGTCAGAGACTTTGTGAGAGCTCTTCGGGACAGCCGTAAGGTGCGCCCGATGTTGTGCGCCAACTACGACCAGGTGTGGAGCACCCAGTACAGACCATCCAAAGCAACCTTGCAATGCAAAGGCCACAGCGACCGTTTAGCGCGCCAGTGGAGCTTGAGATCACTACGCCACAAAATTGAACTGGCATTGGACGTGGACGTGACTGAAAACCTGCAGGAGCACCGCTACAGGCACAGGGACACGCCGACTGTCACGGGCGGCAAGGCTTGCGCGGTTGTCGATGGCTGGAGAATTCCCCGAACGCTCACGACGTTGAGCTGGGTGGACGGGACAATGTCAAGAGGGTATGTGACGCTTCGAGCTGGTAGTCTTTCAGAGGAAGACAGGTGCCAGGCGAACCAGGACAGAGTATATGTGTTTTTGCGCGTTTTCTTTGAAGCAAGTGTCCTTCTTTCTCTCTATTTGTCCAAGTCAGGCTCCCCCTCTCTCTCCCTAAAGAAGCCGTGGAAGGCATTCCAAGTGTGTGTGTGTGTCCACCCCTGTTCCAAAGGGTGCGACCTTCCTTCAAAACAAGCAGGGGGCCAGCGCATGACATCACGACGCTGGCCAACGAAGCTAGTGATGTCATGGGATGCGGTCAGAGACGTCTGACCGTGTACCTGCAAAGAAACCGTTGATCACGCTGTCCAATCTTCCTTTTTTGATTTCACGGTCCTTCATGCTCCCACCCCCAAACAGGTTTCAGCCGCTTGTGCAGTGCAACCAGCAGAGCGAGTGAAACAATGTTCAACAATACAATTGCGCCGACTTTTCCACCTTGCGTTTCCCTCACCTTCCTTCTCATCGCGGGAACTGAGTTAACAGCAAACCAATGTCAGAGTGTGTTGAACCTGTCCTTATGCTATAGCAGTGCTGCCACCCCAGACTTTGAGGAGCTGAGTGAATGGTTGGAGATTGCTCCTTTCCATCGGACCAGCCACATTTGGGACGCCACCACGACAGCTTCATACCTACGCTTCCTGGGCGGTGAAATCAGAGCCCGCAGGCCAGTGTGCACACAATGTCTTTCATGGAATGTTTCCTTTCAGTCCGTGGTAAATTGGACGCTAATGTCGACGTCCTGTAGGGTTGGCTTCTACCTGCTAGGCGCGCATTATCCCTTGGTTGGGATGACGCCTGCCTCATAATGTGCGACCAAGCAACCCAGCACACATCACAGAAGATCCGCAAGATCCGGGACGAGTGGTGCAAACAGCACAACGTCGCACCCCTGATGCAAATGTCCTTGCTGTGTTTTGAACTGGTTTGGGCCTCGTGTTCTTTTTGCAAGGAACAGGTGGCATTCCAAGTGTATGCATGCGCGTGTGCATCTCGCAAGCGTGGTGAGGTGTTCTTGACTGGCGACACAGAAGAATCCATTGGGTGCTCAATACCAGGCGGATATGGTGCATGTGGCCAGCCTAATGATGGGTTCCATAGCTTTCTTCATCTTCTCAACCGATATTGCAAGATTGCGCTGAACTGGGGCACATCTCTAGAATTGCGCCAAAGCTTAGACGGCCTGAACCTGGGAGTCCAAGCTTCAGTCAGCACGAAGAAACTTGGTTTCTCTCTAGCAAATGTTGATGTTTTCCAAGAGTTGGGCGTTCAAAAGGTAAGGGGTCTGCATTGATGTAATTAGAATTCTTGCTCGCTAGCTACAGGAGCACGGGCCTGATTGCTTTGCGAGCTGATGCCTACGCTTTGCAGTCATTGGCAAACTTTGAGCCACTCGGATCTACTTCAAGCAGAACCGTTTCTGCTTAGATATGGTCATATAAATTGAATAATGATAGCTCCAATGTATGTATATATATATACATACATATACATACATATACAGGAAAACCACCCGCGCAAATTAGGTCGGGGCGCTTGGTGTGGTCTGCTTGGTGCAAGCGCGGGTATTGCACGCTGGCTGAGATAGCCAAGTGGCGGTATGGAGGCCTCCAAAAGTGTTGTTTTGCTTTTTGTTGCTTTGTTGTGTTCTTTTTGTGTGACAGTTGTGGTGACATTCCAAGTGAGTGCGTCGCCAGATTAACTATTGTGTTTTCCTCACGGTTCACAAGGCCTGGCCCATGACCACTCCCCCAATTGCAGGCGAAGAGATCAAAGCGAGGGTGGCCTATTCACGGAAGGACTCGGCGCTTTATGAGCTGACTAAACTCACTGCTGTGCCGACCATTTCAGAAGGTGTTGACCTCCACGCGTTGAAGACCTTGCGGACACTGCCAATGGCGGGTGAGCGCCAAATCATGTGGGCCGTGCAGGACGGACCCGCCGCAAGCACGCGGCAGGTGCTTCCAGAATGGATATCGGAGCCCATTGCTTTGAAGCTCATCAGATGGACCCATGAAAGTCGTGCTTGGGACAAGAAGATTGAGCAAAGAGAGGGTCGAAGGTTGACGCCAGCGATGCAAACACGGTATGATGAGTGGAATGAGCAGACTTCAGAGTTCCGGTTCCTTTTCAACCTCCAGAAGGAATGCCATATCGCCCACATCAGAGACCCGACAGAAGTGAAAAGGAATCGCAATCACATGTTCATGGTGTCCGTTCTGCCAGATGCGGATCCCACAAAGTTGAGGCTGAAGACCAGCGATGGTCAAGAACGTCGTTTGGTAGCGTTGAGGGGGCAGCCAGTGGTTGGTGTAGCGCCTACTCCAGAGTTTTTGCGCAAGACTATGACCGAAGAGGAGGCGGAGCGCTTGCCAGAAGAGCTTCTGACCAAGGATGATGGCTCTGAAGATGATGGCAAGGATGATGAGGCGGGTCATTTTGCAAGAAACAACACCAAACTTTAGCGCTGGGGTGTATAGAAGCTGCGGGTTGATAACTTTTTTTGCTCTGGGTGGGTGGCTTTAGTTTTTCTTTTATGTATACCGTGTCGGACTGAAACTTAGAATGTGGATATGGTCTTAACATTCCGCATGAGTTCTAAGAAAAAGTCCCGTGTGTATTATGTGATACGAGACATGTTTTTTGTATACACAATAGAGAATTGGGATTGGAGCCGGATGAAAAAACATGTGTATATATATATATTATATGCACTAGACCAAGGGGAAAAGAACACATGCTACCATTTTGGCCGTACACATAGAATGCCGACCAATCACCGGCAGGCAATCGAAGTGGAAGAAGAAAAGCGTAAAGAAAGGGAAGCGGCTGATTTCGCGGAGCATGAATCCGATTGGGAACAGCCCGGAAAGGACCTTGGGATTGAGGACATCATGGAGATCCTCGTAGACACAGAGGATGAAGGTGGTTTGGAGCTTCCGGCAGGAGGACATCGCTGCCGAGTGAAAAGCTTCATGCATCGAGAAGCCTACGCTCTGCTAGCTCGCAATGGTTTGGCGGAGATCCCCACATCTACTGTGGGCGTTTCCATTGGCTACCATTCCACGACACAGTGCTGGCAGGCATTCTGCCCAGGAGTACACTCCGGCCTTTCCTACACGTGGGGCAGATCCACCGGCAGAACAGAGCTTGAAGCACTCACCAAGTGCATCAAAGGGCTTTTGACCGCCTATCTTGACCGATACCCCCGGGAGACCCTGTGGAAACTTTGAACTATATAAACCTGTGCATTTTATATTGTGTGTTCTGTTCCGGTTTGCGAGTGATGTCATTCTAAGTGTAGTTCCCGAAACGGAATCTTCTATGGAATGTGGTTGTTCCTGTTTTCAGTCTTCACAACTCAGGAAGAGGCAACTCCAGAAATTGCAGCAAGCAGAGATGGAGCTGGACAAGCTTGTGTGATTGGGCCCTGGAGCTATCAGCTCCTTTTTGGTTTTGTTCTTGGGCAATGTGCTGTTGAACTCCTCCAAAGGATTAGACAGACATGCGGTGTGCACGTTTTCAGCTTTTGGGGGTGCGCCTCTCTATGCATTCTTTTCATTGTTCGTTTGTGTATATGTATATATATATATTATATATAACTCAGCAGGAAATGCTAAATTGGCGGCCCTCCCCCCAAACAAATCCCCAATATGTGGAAGACAACCTTCCGCTTGCATGTGATGGCAGCTGATGAAGCAGCTTTGCTAGGAAGACGGACGGTTGTGGTTACCGTCGGACTGAATCTAGCATGTGCCTGGGAAACTGTTTCAACGTTCCGAGGATACACATAGAATGCACTGAACGACCACTTGTCAATTTGCTTGTCCTTTTTCATCCGGTTATATATATATATATACAGGTATTAGTCAGTTTTCAAGTTTCAGTCATGGAGAGAATTCACTTAGGGAAGACAACCTTCCACACTTAGAAGGGCAGCTGTAGAAACAGCGCCTGAGCGCAGCGAGCGCCTGGAGAAAAGATGCATTCTATGTGTGGTTTTTCCGTGGGCGGGGCCAACATGGGAAGGCGTGAAGCATTCTATGTGTCTTTAAAACTCTAATTTGCAATATTTTTTCTACTTTTTTGTTGATTCAGAGACATTCTAAGTGGCACACTGCAGGGCTAGTTCTGTCCCACATGTGCAGTGTTTTAGAACCTTGTAAATTGACAAGTGGCCGTTCAGTGCATTCTAAGTGTGTCCTCGGAATGTTAAGGCAGTATACCACATTCTAAGTTTCAGTCCGACGGTATACTAAAGACTCAGCTCCAGGCCCTGATGGATTACCTTATGCTCTTTGGCGGATCTTCCCACAACAGACTGCTGCAATCCTTAAGGACGACTTTCATCACATTTTAGCTGGTGTACTGGCACCGCCCACCCAGGTAGGCGTATGGATCCCGAAAGCCAAGCAAGGGCCCACGGCGGACTTCTTCCGACCGTTAGGTATGCCTGACACGCTTGACAGACTGCAAGACGGCACAGCTGCTGCCATTCTTTTTCGAGTTACTCGGCACAGTTTTCACCCTGCCCAAACCCTGCTCAATTCCTTTCGAGAACCGCAGAGAGCTGTGCTGGAAGTACAAGGAGCCCTTGAGGGATCCTCGCCCGCTTCTGCCCTCTTTGCTGATCTTTCCAAAGCTTTTGAGCGTATCAATGCACATTGGATCCTTCATATACTACGTATTCGTCAGTGCTCCCAGTAGGTGGGTGTAAATTTACAGGCTATTTCCCCGGGGCAGCTGGGAACAGTGCCTTGCGCTTTTGCCTGCTGCTAAAGTGGCGAGCGATTCGTCCCCAAGCGAATGAACTCTTTCCAGCGCAACTGCAGGGGGACAGCCTTAGCTGTCTTCCGGCAGAGGACAATGATGCAGACGTGGAGTCAGTTTCCACGCCCTCGTCCAACACTTCTGCCAGAAGAGCAGATCGACTCACTAAAGCAATCGAACGAGACTTGACGAAGGGTAGTCAGGCACCTGACCCTAGTCCATGCATCCCCTATCCGCA